AAATCGAACTAAAAAGGTGATATTCGTAATCAGCACAAAATTCTGCATCGGATGATGTGTCTTTCAAGGAAAAATGAAGAGTGCTTGATTTTTGAATTAGCGGCACCTTATATCGCGTCCTAGCGCTCATAACTTTGTAGGGGGTCTTCTGAAACGTCTCTTAAAAAAAGCCGATTTTGAGCTGAAACTGTTTGATCGAGAGTTCGTACTTTGTACAAAGTTGTTTCTTCAGCCGATGACTGCTGTTTATTTTTATTCTTTTACGATTTTAATGGAGCCTATGAGCGTATCTCATAACTAGGTATGCATCAAAAACTGCTGTTTAAGCTGCCACAAAAATTATTATAAATCCTGTAAAGAACTAGTCAGAGTCGCGGAACGTCTCATCTTGTAGAAAAATGTTTAAACTTTAATTCCATATAATCAGAAAAATTTCGAAGTTATTTATGGTACAAATATGAGCATTCTAGAATGCACTAAATTCAGAAAAAAACCCTGTTCGAACAGTTTTTTTTCCTAACTTTAGTGCATTTTAGAATGCTCACGCTTTTGTTAGAAATAATTTCAAGCATTATTTCACAATTGAGTTTTCTAGAGTCAATATTTCTCCACAACATCAGACGTTCCGCGACTCTGACTAGTTATTCACAGGTGATTTATAATAGTTTTTGTGGAAGCCCAAATAACAGTTTTTAACTGGTAAAAGCAAAAAGACGAACGCAAAAATTAGTGTTTAATTGAATCCAAAAATCATCATATTTTAGGTAAGAAAAAAGGGACTGTAAAACGAAAACCGCTAAGGGAAAAATTTGGTGACATCAGTGACTAAAAATAATAATACTGGACGGATAAATAAAAAGAGATATACGCTTGATATCTACGATTATCTATGACTAGGTTTGAATGCTGTATAAAATTTCTTAAATAACGTCACGTGAATTTTAGGTTATGTCTAGCAATACAGTATTTTTAAAACACATGATAAATCTCACTTGATATTTTTCTGCATTCGCTAATTTCCTGTATTTCTGAAAAAAAGTTATTAACTTTTCTGTTTTTCGAAAGGGAAAATCCTCCCCTGTTCCTGCTTTTTGAAAGTGAATAGTACGAACTCTGGCCTACCGATCTCACGTAAAATAGATAAATACTTTCTATACATTCCTTCTACACCGATAAAAATAAATGTCGTTCCCAATATATCTAACCGCTCTTTGATTGTTATTTAAATGTATTTCTCGAAGGGACAGGAAAAATCCAGAAAGTATTGAATTCGTTGATGTGCTCCTTTGTCAACGAAAAACGAATCTTCTATTTTTTTAGCTTTAACCTAAAGCGATCGTAACGCTACTCACCTCATCTAAATCGTATCGCTTCAGCAGATAATCCATATTGACCAACTGAAACAATTTTTGTATATCAAAATTAGTCAAATTTACTCTTGTCGTTGTTCTCGATTTTAAATTTAACATAAATTCAGTTTGAAATCTCAACGATCCTATAGGTAAATAGGGTCGCTGTGATACGAACAACATTTGTTGTCGTTCAGGCATTTGTAAATATTTTGCTTGTATCGGCCACAGACCAGCGCATATTCGAAACAGACTTGTTTTACCACAACCGGTTGTTCCACTAATCAGCAGATTTTCATTGCGTCGAATCGAACTATTTAAATTACGTTGTAGAACAACTGTTTCTATCGGTTGTGGTATAGACACAGTCAAATGTTCAAACGAAAATTCATTGTTATTATACAGACGCAATTGTTGCCGTTCTTCATCTTCTAAACGTTGTCGATGATATTTAGCCAGATGTTCCAGACGCTGTTTCACTTGTCGAATACGATGACCCATT